GTTCAGGAAGCAGCAACTGTGGTCGTCCCGAATGCTGCCAAGAGCAAATGCAGCATGTGGTGAGGAATGAAGGGGCATGAAAATGGAGACTGACTTTAAGAGAAGCAAGTAGAATCCTCTGGACCAGCATGGACTCTACCCAGGGTCAGTGAACAGAGGCAAAGAAAAGGGCTCAAAGCAAAGCGAGAGAAGGGGAAAAGCAGAGCAAAGGCAGCACAGGGTTGGCCTGGGGGACGCTGAAAAGCTTGGAAAGTGCCAGGTGGGACAAACGTACAAAAGCTGTACTCACTCTAATTGGACGCTGCTCTGGGTCCAGATATTATCAGACATCCAAATTCTGTAGTATGAATGTGGTTGTAGTTGTTTGTTCTTTTAACCTGATAATTATAGCCAGTAAAGATAAAACAAATTGGTTTGGCGCTCATAGCACAGTGGTTTTGGCACCAGCTACATACACCGAGGGTGGTGGGTTTGAACCAGCCTGGGTCAGCTAAACAACTGTAACAACAAAAATAATAGCCAGGTGTGGGCCGCACCTGTGGCTCAGTGGATAGGGCATTGGCCCCCATATACCAAGGGTGGCTGGTTCGAACCTGGCCCCAGCCAAACAGCAACAAAAAGTAGCCAAGTGTTGTGGTAGGCGCCTATATTCCCAGCTATTTGGGAGGCTGAGGCAAGAGAATAGCTTGAGCCCAAGAGTTGGAGGTTGCTGTGAGCTGTATGACGCCACAACACTCTACTAAGGCTGAAAAAGTAAGACTCTGTCTCTAAAAAAAAAAAAGAAAGAAAGCTATTATGTAACTATAGCATTTAAAACCATAACCCTAGATCTCCTAAACAGTTAATTGTTTGGAGGTTTTTTGTTTGTTTGTTTGCAGTTTTCTGGCTGGGGCTGGGTTTGAACCTGCCACCTCTGGTATATGGAGCCGGTGCCCTACTCCTTGAGCCTAAGGTGCCACCCACTTGTTTGGACTTTTGATTTTGTATAATTCAGAATAAAGGATATTCTGTGTATCAAAAAAAAATAGGCTCGGCACCCATACCACAGTGGTTACAGCCCCAGCCACATACACCCAGGCTGGTGGGTTCAAACCCAGTCCGAGCCAGCTAAATAACAATGACAACTGCAACAAAAAAATAGCTGGGTGTTGTGGTGGGCACCTGTAGTCCCAGCTACTGAGGAGGCTGAGGAAAGAGAATTGCTTAAGCCCAAGAGTTTGAGGTTGCTGTGAGCTGTGACGCTATGGCACTTTACCGAGCGCGACATAGTAAGACTCTGTCTCAAAAAAAAAAAAAGACAAATGAAAAATTTTTATTTCTCAAACTGTTTTCTTCCTTTCTTTCACCCATTTTCTTCTTTCTTTCTTTTTTTTTTTTTTTTTTTTGAGACAAAGAGTCTTAAGCTGTTGCCCTGGTAGAGTACTGTGGCATCACAGCTCACAGTAACCTCCAACTCCTGGGCTTAGGTGATTCTCTTGCCTCAGCCTCCTGAATAGCTGGGACTAGAGGCACCCACCACAATGCCCAGCTATTTTTTGTTGCAGTTTGGCCTGGGCCAGGTTTGAACCCATCACCCTTGGTATACAGGGCCGGCACCCTACCCACTGAGCCACAGGCACTGCCCGAGAAACGAAAATCTTTTTTTTTTTTTGAGACAGAGCCTCAAGCTGTGCCCCTGGGTAGAGTGCTGTGGCATCACAGCTCACAGCAACCTCCAACTCCTGGGCTCAAGCAAGTCTCCTGCCTCAGCCTCTCAAGTAGCTAGGACTACAGGTGCCTGCCACAACACCCAGCTATTTTTTTGGTTGCAACTGTTGTTGTTTGGAGGGCCTGGGCTGGATTCGAACCCACCACCTTAGGTATATGTGGCTAGTGCCTTAGCCATTTGAGCCACAGGCGCCGAGCCAAAACGAAAATCTTAACTGAAAATGTTGGCCAACAACTTACGGCTCTTGTATCACAACAATGCACTGGTTCACACTGCACTGTCTGTGAGGGAGTTTTTAGCCAGTAAACAAGTAACTGTATTGGGACACCCTCTCTACTCACCTGATCTGGCCCCCAATCACTTTTTTCTTTACCAGAAGATAAAAGTACTAAAAGGAAGACATTTTGATGATATTCAGGACATCAAGGGTAACACATGAAAAAGAGTTCCAAAATTGCTTTGAAGGGTGGACTAGGTGCCCTTGGAAGGACTAGGGCAGATTTGTTGGTGTACCCCAAGACTTGGAAGGTGGCCTTAGTGCTATTCAGCCATGAACTGTGTGGCACTTTTTCAAGGATGAATTTGTGAACTTAAAATTGTTAGACCTCATATACAAGTCAGGGTTTTAGGGTGAGATCAGAGCTGGGGGCACCACCTCGTGAGTATTTGGCCTGATGATAATTGTTTAGACTTGTGTGACCAGAGGTCAGCTGGGGAGACAGTATAGCCAGAGAAGGGAGTGGTCTGAGGCCAGCCCTGGGACTTGCAGACCTTCATCGAGAGTGAGCAGAAGGGGAAGAGAAGCAAGCAGCGGGCCTGGGAAGGATGTTGAGTAGAAGGGTACTGAACAGGAGTGCCACTGAGAGGTCAGGTAAGAACTCAGCAGTCCAGAGAAGTGACCACTGGGTTTGCCAACATGGTGGTCCTCAGTGATTTCTGACGAGGCCAGAAGATGGAAGAAATGACCAAAGCTGTCGAATCTAGCAGAGTTTGATGATAACAGGCCATGCGTCTGCTGGGGAGGAGGGGACGTGGAGTCAGGTTGGTGGGGGTCAGGATAATGGAGGCACAAGGACCTGGGTGCCACTGGGTGACTTCTAGTAATGAATGAGGTAGATGGGGATGTAAGGCGCCTCCTTGTAATCCCTTGAGCTAAAGGGTATATTCAGGTAGTTATACCTGGGATGACTTGGGACCACTTGGCAGTTCTTTGCTGTGTCTCTGTGGTCTGGTGGCCATGCAGTAACAAAAGCCTCCCAGGGAACTGTTTTCATAGGGAGTACAGAGCCCTGTGAGGGCCTTTCTGTCCTGCAGTGGCAGTGTATGGTAGCCTGGGACTGGGGAAATAGAAGAGGCTTAACAGTAATGAGGACCCTCCACCTTGTCTCTTCCACCACCCATTTTCTTTCTTTTTTTCTTTCTTTTTTTTTTTTTTGAGACAAAGTCTCAAGCTGTTGCCCTGAGCCTCCCACAGGGACTACAGGTGCCTGCCACAACACCCAGCTATTTTTTAGTTGCAGTTATCATTGTTGCTCAGCAGACCTGGGCCATTTCAAACCCGCCACCCTAGGTGTATGTGGCCAGCGTCCTTGCCGCCTGAGCTACAGGTGCTGCCCCAGCACCCATTTTCTTTCCTGAGAAGTAAACCAGTATTTCTTGGATACCTCTTCAAAGGTGCATACAAGGATGTAGCCTTAACAAAGCGCAGTGTAATCCTAGCACTCTGGGAGGGTGAGGTGGGTGGATCCCTGGAGCTCAGGAGTTTGAGACTAGCCTGAAAAGTACCCAAGGTGTGGTGGGCTCTCAGCTACTCAGGAGGCTGAGGCAAGAGGATCTCTTAAGCCCAAGAATTTGTTGTGACAGTGTGAGACTGTCTCAAAAACAAAGGATATAGCCTTTTTAAAAAATTAAAATGTTGGGCAGTGCCTGTGGCTCAAAGGAGTAAGGCGCTGGCCCCATATGCTGAAGGTGGTGGGTTCAAACCCAGCCTCAGCCAAAAAAAAAAAAAAAAAAAATTAAAATGTTGGCTCAGCGCCCCTGTAGTTCAGCAGCTAGGACATCAGCCACATATACCAGAGCTGGTGGGTTCAAATCCAGCCTACGCCAGCCAAACAATGACAACTACAACCAAAAAATAGCCAGGCCAACTGTGGCAGGTGCCTGTAGTCCCAGCTATTTGGGAGGCTGAGACAAGAGAATTGCTTAAGCCCAAGAGTTTGAGGTTGCTGTGAGCTGTGATGCTACAGCACTCTAGTGAGGGTGATATAATGAGACTGTCTCCAAAAAAAATTTTTTTAATTAAAATTTTATATCTTGCCTTATAACCGTGGAGGTTGTTCCACATTATTATGTGTAAAGTTGCCTCATTCTTTTCAAAAGTTACAGAATATTATATCTGTTTCCATAATGCTTTAACCAGTTCTCTGTTGATGGACATTTTTCCCAATGGTTAGCCTTTATAAACAGTGCTATAAAATCTATATACCTATGTCAGTGGATGTCTGGAATATATTTGTAGGATAAGTTGCTAGAAGTGGAATACTGTGCTAAAGGATACGTACACTTTAACATTTAGGTAGATTGTGGTAAATTTTTCCTAGTTAACATTCCTGTGACTTATGACCCATTGAGAGTGCTTATTTCTCCACATGCCGTAATAATCAACTTTGTGTTTTCCGCCCACCTAACAGGTGACACACGTCTCATTGCGTCCCTCAGTGTGAGTGTCACTTCATGGGTGCACGAGCGATTGTTTTTCCTTTTCTCTGAACTGTTCCTTTATGTCTTTCACCCACTTTCCTATTTGTATTATCCATTAAGGAAATTAGCCTGTCTGTGATGTCTGGCAAATATTTTTTTTCCTGGTTTGTCCTTTGTAGGTTAATTCAAGTACAGTCAACATTTTTCTTAAAGACCTTGAGCACTGCTGTCTGGGGACATGGAGAGCCAGCCCTTCGGGTGAGCTTCTCTCTTTGGGAAACAGACATTCATTCTCACAGACATTTTCCCTTCCTGACATCAACAGGACCATAATCTTGGATCAGGGAAGGCCCAAGGCTGAGTTGTTCTGTGCGCAGTTGACCTAGGGGAAGCCGTAAGCTGTCATGCTCCACACAAACTTGCCTTTGAGTAGTGTAGATCGGTCTCTGTCGTCAAGAAGCTTCTCATGTGCTCAGAATCCTGAAAGCCCTACAAAAGAGCTCCCCTCCCCATAAAGTTTTTTTAAAAGAATTATTTTTCAAATTATTAAATAATCTTTTTGTAACAAGAGGACATCTGCTTTTTCACCTAGGGAGCCGAGAATATAACCACTTACACATTCAACACGCACAAAGCCCAGCACACCTTTTGCAAGAGATGCGGTGTTCAGAGCTTCTATACTCCCCGCTCAAACCCCGGAGGCTTTGGTGAGTAAAAGGGATAGACTGTGACACAGAAGCCTGGGTACTCTGGGCCAAAGTGCTGGTGGGACAGGTGGGTGCCCCCTGCCAGGCTAGGCCCTGCTCCATGCATGTCCTCGGTCAGGGCTCTCCAGCAGAGCTCAGTGACAGGATGCAGGACTGGTCTGCTCACATCTGTAGATCCCTTATCTGAGCATGGAAAGTCTGATTCCGAGTCCATCCACTTCATGATTCTATCACTGGTGCTGCGAGAACTGTGTATCCATGACATAAAGGGTAGAGAGGACAGGTGGGGAGATGGGCTTGTTGGGTGGGTAAGGGTAGCAATTTTGATAATGACAGGGGTTAAGGGAGTGAAAGAGGCAAGAATGTGAAGCACTTACAACACCAGTTAAAAAATTTTTTTATTTATCCAAAAACAGAACCTCCAAATCCCCTCTCAGATACAGAGGTAAATAAAACAAACCTTTGGATAATTGTTCAGAGTAATACCACTCACATTGTGCATTGAGAGGGAAACCAGAGGCAGAAGAAATTCCTGAGGCCTCTGGTTCCCTGTACAAAAGCAACCTCCAGAGCTGCAGGGGCGGCTGTGACCGTGACTGTCTTTTGCCTTATGGAGGGAGTCATGGCATCATGCTCACCCTTCCCACCCCATTTCTTCAGCACCTCCTGTTTGTTCCTCATCAGTCTCATGGAGAGTCCTTCCCCTGGGGTTCTGAAAAGTCTAAAATCCAGTATAAATGGGGAAGCATATAATTCATAGGAAGTTATTTATCTAAACTCAAAAAAGGGCTGTGAATTCTTTAGGCCTGCAGTTAGAAGTTACTCCAGGCTCTAAATTTGGTATTGAATGATGTGCAGCCTTCGCCATCTTCAGTTCAAGGTGGCTGATCCCCAGGGGCAGATGGGGAGAGTGAACCAGATGAGGGAAGCGGTAAGCTGGACCTTCTGAGGCGTCAGGCAGTGTGCCAGGCTGATCTCTGAAGTCACATGCTGTCGCCTATCACTCAGAAAGTCCATCGTGTATGTAGCATGATGACGCTTACACATGGGCGCTTGTCTAGGAGCTAGTGTAGTATCTGTTCTCACCTGTTTTGGTCTCCCCTTTTCTCTGTGCTGCTTCCCCAGGAATCGCCCCCCACTGCCTGGATGAGGGCACCGTGAGGAGCATAGTCACTGAGGAGTTCAACGGCAGCGACTGGGAGAAGGCCATGAAGGAGCACAAGACTATCAAGAACATGTCTAAGGAGTGAACTCCTTCCTCTCCCTTCCTGAAGAGGAGGACTGAGTGGAGCCAGCAGCTGTGCTGTCCCTGCCAGACCTGGATGGTGCTCCTGGATGTGGCCGAGCCAGGCTGTGGGCTCCACAGCCAGCAGCCACCTTGATCCCTATAATTTGCTCCAGCTCTCAGTTTCTTTAGGCAGCTCTTTGTCTCCCCTTAGCCCAGATTTTTGATGTAGGATAGTTGACATCCATCCTTCTCTTCCCAACTTTTGTGTGATCTTTTAGGACAAAAAAGAATAAATATTTTTAACATTAAAGCAGTTACTCTGGTTTACCATTTCTTTTTTTTTTTTTTTTTGAGATAGAGTCTCACTATGTCACCCTTGGTAGCGTGCCATGGCGCCATAGCTCACAGCGACCTCAAACTCCTGGGCTCAAGCAGTTCTCCTGCCTCAGCCTTCCAAGCAGCTGGGACTACAGGCGCCTGCCACAACGCCCCACCATTTTTTTTGTTGCTGTTGTCACTGTTGTTCAGCTAGCCCACGCCGGGTTCAAACCTGTGAGCAAACCTGCCAGCCTCAGTGTACCATATGTTACAGGTGTCAAGCCTGGTTTATGATTAATTTTGCACTTTGGTTTTGTTTCTGAGTTGAGTCAAGTAATAGCAGGTAGATAGTGATTGCTTTCAAGATGTTTGCAAAGAAATTGGGAAGAACAGATAAGGCAGATGAAGAATGGTGGTTAAGATAAGAAGACTGAGGCTCGGCGCCCATGGCTCAGTGGTTAGGACACTGGCCACATACACTCAGGCTGGCGGTTTGTTTTTTTTTTTTTTTTTTGAGACAGAGCCTCAAGCTGTTGACCTGGGTAGAGTGCCATGGCGTCACAGCTCATAGCAACCTCCAACTCCTGGGCTCAAGCGAGTTTCCTGCCTCCACCTCCCAAGTAGCTGGGATTACAGGCGCCCACCACAAAGCCCGGCTATTTTTTGGTTGCAGCTGTCATTGTTTGGTGGGCCCAGGCTGGATTCGAACCCACCAGCTCAGGTGTATGTGGCTGGCGCCTTAGCCATTTGAGCCACAGGTGCTGAGCCAGGCTGGCGGTTTGAACCTGACCTTGGCCTGCCAAACAACAATGACAACTACAACGAGAAGATAGCTGGGTGTTGTGGCCAGTGCCTGTAATCCCAGCTTCTTGGGAGGCTGAGGCAAGAGAATTGCTTAAGCTCAAGAGTTAGAGGTTGCTGTGAGCTGTGACTTGACGGCACTCTACCGAGGGCGACATAATGAGACTCTGCCTCAAGCATAAATAAATAAATAAAATTATGTAGGCAAATGCCTATAATCCCAGGACTTGAGAGGCCAAGACAGGTGGATTGCCTGAGCTCACAGGTTTGAGACCAGCCTGAGCCAGAGAAAGATGTCTCTAAAAATCGCTGAGCATTGTGACAGGTGCCTGTAGTCCCAGCTACTTGGGAGGCTGAGGCAAGAGGATCACTTAAGCCCAGGAGTTTGAGGTTGCTGTGAGCTGTGATGCCATGGCCCTTTACCAAGGATGACAAAGTGAGACTGTCTCAAAAAAAACAAACAAGGCCATGCTCAGTGGCTCACGCCTGTAATCCTAGGACTCTGGGAGGCTGAGGAGGGAGGATTGCCTGAGCTCATGAGTTCAAGACCAGCCTGAGCAAAAGTGACACCCCGTCTCTACTAAAAAACAAATAGATAAACTGAGATAAGAGGATCACTTGAGCCCGAGTTGGAGGATGCTGTGAGCTATGATGCCATGACACTGTACCCAGGGTGATAGCTTGAGACTCTGTCTCAAAACAAACAGAAAAATTATATAGTTAAAACACGAATATATATAATACATATATAACAGGTAAAAATACATAGTTTTGTATATTTTTTAAAAACAGCATCATACTCTACCTTGGTTCTGCAATTTGTATCTTTTATTAGCATCTTAACTTTTTCTTTTTTTTTTAATAGAGACAGAGTCTCACTTTATCGCCCTTGGTAGAGTGCTGTGGTGTCACAGCTCACAGCAACCTCCAACTCCTGGGCTTAGGCGATTCTCTTGCTTCAGCCTCCCGAGTAGCTGGGACTACAGGCGCCTGCCATAGCCCTTGGCTATTTTTTTGTTGCAGTTTGGCCAGGGCTGGGCCAGGTTCCAACCTGCCACCCTTGGGACCAGCGCCCTACTCACTGAGCCACAGGTACCACCCATCTTAACTTTTTCATTCTAATATGTATCTTCTCATTAACTGTTGCTCAGAATTGCATAGCATGGGTATAGTTATTAAACCACTACTTTTTTTTTTTTTTTTTTTTTTTTTTTTTTGAGACAGAGCCTCAAGCTGTTGACCTGGGTAGAGTGCCATGGCGTCACAGC